GGACAACATAACCAATAACAAAGTAGTTCGCATTTCAAAGCGTCTTCCACGTCACATGTTGTAAATGACATCAATTACAATAAAGGGTCCCGCTTTTTTCATTTTTTAATGAAGACCATTCTAACGTGTTTTTAGATTGCACCACGTGTTGTTTGGCATGATGTCCGATGTTTCAGACATCATGCCTGGAGGAAAAGATTGGCTTTGATAATGGGACCGTTTCTAAAGTGCGACTAGAACTTGTTTTAATAAGTTAAATGGTATTCTTTGGTTCTTTCGGTAAAGTAACGTAGATAGAAGAAGAAAAATAATAATTAAAAATAAAGTGAAGAAAAATATAAATTAAACTTTTAAAACTTAATAACCAGGCTACAGTCTACATTATATATTTCCAGTACACTCACTCCAATTAAGAACCAGGCTGTAGTCTACATTAGTGTTTTTTATTCACTTTCTTTTGTATTCTTATTTTTCTATCGACGTGACTTTACCGACAGAACCAAAGAATATGAATTCCTGCAGTCACGAAAGCTTTAAGTCAAAATATAAGTGAAATGGTTATGGTGTCCAGAAGCTGTTTGAAACATCGGGCAGTGTGTCATGACCTTGTGATCATGAGCCTATTGCTCTATAGGGCCCGCGGAATAATTTGGTCTCTGGCCCTGCCAAGGCAACCGCAGGCGGGACTCGAAATTCAATAAATCTCGGAGCAAACCTGGAAAAGCAGTTGCGAGTAGCAACATCGTCAATACCAACAACAACATCCGCCATTCGCCACTAAGTGGCGGTGACGTCACCACGACGCTTGTGCCAGCTAACATCATCACACGCATCACCAAAGAGAAGCAGTTCCAGCCCCATCACATTAGGGGTGAGTTAATGAAACGTTTGACCAAATATAACAGGCTAATTTTGAAGTTGATAATTTTGTGTGGCCCGCGAATGATGATGTTATAAATATCCAAATGGCCCTTGGCAGAAAAAAAGGTTCCCCGCCCCTGCGTGAACTTCCAGCCACAGAATTCATCATTAAAACACGGCCGCAAGTGTTGGCTCGGTTGTGTCGCACAGCTCTCTCCGACGCGTCTTGGGATTGCACCGTGGGTGTTCAGGAAAGGTGTCCGACGTTTCGCACCACGTGCTGGGACCTTTTTCAGAAACTAAACTTTTTTTTCCTAGAGGCGTGATGTCTGAAACATCGGACATCATCAGAATCTGAAGTTGTTTTTATCCTGGTGGAATCCGATGAGCTATAACGCTCTTTTTCACGGGGGTGTCTAGTATGGGCGAGTCAGCAAGTTAAAGCGAACAACAAACACACACGGTAAAACCCCAAAAACACATTGGAGCGTCATCATAAAATAATGAAATAACCGTAACCATTTATTGTAATCGACGTCATATACAACATCTGACGTGGAATGCGATTTGAAATGGGAAATACTTATTATTGGTTTTCATTGTTTGTGTTGCCATTTTTGGACTTTCCATAGAGAAACCAGAAAAGCCACAACATGAACCCGCTTGATGCTCACCACAGTGATTTTGCTCGTGTAACAGTATTTACTATTGAGGAACAAGCACGCCGAGCGAATCTTAATCTCACGCGCCACCAGAAGGGCAGCACGAATGTTGAAACCATCTGATGATCCCGTAAAGCACGTGGCAGGCACAAACATGAAAAACGTGGACATCTCCTAACTCCAACCTCCGCCTACATTGTTCCCTACAGCGACAGTTGTTTCAGGGAATGACCCTCATTCTTGGTTCTTTCGATAAAGTCACGTAGATAGAAAATAAAAATAATAGCTAAATTATGATTAAAAAGAAAAGCCAATTTTTTTTTATTAAAAGCAAAAATCCACGACGTTTCAATTGAAACCACGACGTTTCAATCGAAAACGTCGTGGTTTTATGCTTTTATTTTTAATTTAATTTTTATTTTCTATCTACGTGACTTTACGGAAAGAACCAAGAATATGAATTCCTGCAGTGACTAAAGTTATAAGTCGGAATGACCTTTCTTCATCACAGAGAGAGTCTATTTTAGCGCAGTGTTCATAGCGGGTGTTGACATATATAAAGTGATTATGCTTGTGCATGACCGCCAATGCAGTAGAAGCAATAGTTTTGTTTATATCCTGCAAAGTGCTGCCAACTATGGTAATTGTGGCACACACGCTCACACACAAAGACAAAGGTCCCCCATGTAGCCTTAACAGACTGTTGGGGAAAGTGCTGTTAGCGAGCACCTATGAAGGCTGGCACGGCACGCGAGGGGGTGGGTGGCCAACACCACGCCTGTCCGCCTTTGTCTCTCCAGTGGCGATGTTTACACACCGTACCAGGTACTCATTTGAGGCTGAGTCGATCTAGAGGAGGCCCAGGACCGGTTCAGATAATCGTCGCTGGTGTTGACCGTGAGCAGGAATCGAACTCTGGTGGCCGGATTCGTAGCGGAGTGCGCTATGCTATACCGCTCCACGCACACACACAGACACATGCGTGCACGCACGAGAACATCTTTTGCGTTTCATAATTTTTGTGTGCACCCTACGAAAAATAAACGTTTGAAGTTGCAATAAAAAAAATCAAAACCACTTTTTGTCTTGACTGATGACGATCGCATGTGTTGTGATCCGAAACGTCCAATGTTTTTTTTGTTATTTTCTTTCAACCTATCTCCGTGACTTGACCGAAAGACCCCCAAGAACTTGGCCAAGGATGTTTTAGTTTGCTTGCTTTTCTCCTTTTTTGCTTTTAAATTTGATAACGCAAACAATGCAAGAGATATCTGCCAGGCCGCGAGCAGATATCTCTTCCATCGCTAGAGAATCTCAGCTGCCTTGGGTTCCGCAAAGTGCCAGTTTGGCCTGTCCCATTTCCCGGTAGCCTGAAAACGCACTTGTCACACATGAAAAACTGCCTCTCTATAAATGCGCGTGGTGCGCATGTGGTGGATATAACGGCACGGGCAGCGAAGTTCCTCCAAACCGTTGTTGTTTTTTCCTCCAGCTTCCTTAAAGTTTTTTGGTTTGCGCGCCATTCCCATCGCCACGTGCGCCGGCGGCGGTAAGAGTCTGCGTGTTCCCGTAAGCAGGACTGGATATAAATACACAACGCACTCTACAACACAAAACACGGAGCAAACCTGTTTTTTAAACCACGGTTAAAAAACAAAAGAAGGCGCGAGTATCAAAAGCACCCGGACGGTTGATTTCCCCAATAATCTGTTTTACAGTCTGAACATTTTCTTTGGGTCTTTCGGTAAAGTCATGTAGATAGGTTCAAAGAAAATAACAAAAAAACTACCAAGTTTCGATCGCAACACAAGCGATCGAAACGTCGTAGTTTTTGTTATTTTGTTATTTTCTTTGAACCTATCTACGTGACTTTACCGAAACACCCAAAGAATATGAATTCCTGCAATCACGAAAGCTTTAAGTCAAGATTTAGTCTAAACATTGTTTTCTATGTGTCGTAACATACAACATTCAAAGGTTTCATTCAATTAAAGTATGTGTCAACATATATATAAAGATTTTGAGGTTTGTACTTTTGGTCAAACTGCGTGCAGCTTTCAGATGGTTCGTTGTTGTTTGTTGTTGTCAGTCTGTAATCCTCCACACCTGGGCAAGGGCCTCGGATATGTTTCATATCCTTCGTCCCCTTACCCACTCTACTCCCCTTTAGGCACCTCTTGCTTAGCACGGTTGGCTACGTGCGGTGCGAAAGAAGTTCAACATACATAGTTGCTCCTGTCGATTTAAGTGGCCTCCGAAACATTTGATTTCATCTCACTACTGCCATCCCTCCCACCGTCTTCCTCTGCTCCTCCTGCCCTCTCTCGATTTCACGCGGTTGTATGTTTTACGCGGCACACAAAAGATGCGTTTGAGTGAACTACACCGTTGTTGTAGTTGGGAAAAATTAGTCAGGATTATTGGTGGAAGTTTTTGTCAAAGCTCCATTCATGGCGGTGCCAAGCGCATAGCACCTACGGCAAGACTGACTGAATCAAAACTAGGACAATTCTCAAGGCCACACGGGGCCAAAATGCAATACATCATATGGTGCAATAATTGACTTTAAAGTTTAACTTAATGTAAACGCTGAACATTTTTGTCATATCGGTGATTGATTTACAACTCGGATGAGCATTTGCTGTAGCGGTGCTCATCTATTTTTTACCGCCCTGAGCCAGTCGCAGGAAATTCCACGTTCCAGTGGCGGGGCGGGGAGGGGCAGTCTCTCCGTTAGGAAATCCCTGTTGACCCCCCCCCCCCCCCAACAAAGTGGTACTCATTTTAATCGACCCTTCAGAAGATCTTCTTTCGTATGGCAAGGTGAGATTTGCAACGTGAGTGTATAATCGATGGTATTAAGTCGTATCGTAACCCCTGTGGAAGCTTGGAGAGATGATGAATTGAGTAAAACCCATGGGTGGAGTTTGCGGGGGGGAGGGCAAGGGGAGGGTGGGCAACGCCCCTCCCAAACTGGGCACCTTTATTAATTTATTTTTTAGTAATTTACAATTAAGAGCATTAATGAATCAATTACATGCACCCTCGATTCCTAATGTGAGGGACAAAGCGAACTCCAGCCGCCCCCCCCCCTACCGCCAATTATAGAAGTCAAACTCTCACTGTGGTAAAACCTCCAGTCTAGATTGGAACTGGTATTCTCATTGCGAGCTGCTCGCTCTACTGCGGGGCTGTGTGAAATACACAATGATGACGCATACCGAAAAGGGAGGGTTTTTTTTTTTTTACAAAAAAAATAATTACATGAAATCTGTGCCAAGGACCTTTGGCAAAAAGAAATGCCTTAGGTTATTGAAAGAGACAGAACACATGGCTCACAAGACATACATTTCTACCAATGAAAAATGGTTGGGCAGTGAAGATAGCTGGGTAAAGAGCTAAAATTCTTAGTTGAATCGTTTAAACACAATGTCTAAGATCGGTGTTCACGTGGACAAAGCATAACGTACGCCTCTACAGGAAACCACAAGTCCAAGTTTATTTTGTTTAACAGGAAGACACCAAGGACGAGTCTCATTTGCAAGAATGACCTGGGTGCCTAAACTATCAAAAGCCAAACAAATAACGCGAGGTTCAGCGATGAAGCGAATATAAATCAGAGCAAAAAAACCAACGGTGTCACGTGAAGAATCGAAAATATTTCACAACATAACTGAACGTTCAATAATAAATTCGCTGAGCCAAGACAATGACAAAAGGAAAAAAAAACATTTCACAGCAATTAAGCAAAGCAATCGGAAACAACAACAATAAAAAATCAAACCAAAACACTGCATCAAACGAGGAAGCGAAAATATTGCATACATAAATTAACATTAAGCAAGCAAAACTGCAGTGTCACAGTAGTGAGGCATTCATCAAGCAGTTACAAAAAAAATGTGAGTAAAAAAGATCGGATCCATGCACATTTATGCTATAGCTAAAGATGTAACGTACGAAACATGCTAACACAATAAAATACACTTCCAGTTGCGAAACAAGACACAATGGTCCTTGAGTGAAATAACAATGAATGCAGGAATTGATGTCGAACGTTTTAAGGCACTTGGACTCCCCATATGCAACGCAGGTCTCTCGATATAACAGCCACTACGTGAGACAATACCAACAATGGGGGTTTCACGCATCAGTCTGTTCCCCTAGCATCCCTGTTCATCAAAGAGCTTGTGGCGGGGCAAGGGGGTGAACTCTCAGGTGGGATGTCTATGTGCTGCAGAAGATGCCAAACGGGGCTCTTGTTCACGACCATGGTGGAAACCATGGCCATCTTCTTCTTCATGACATCCGCTTCGGGTTTGCTCATCATCTGCAGAGGCAACGGCGCATGGTTAATGCACGTTGGCACACGGCAATGCGCGGCGAAAGCCACGGCCGGCTACGATCAACACGGTTGGCTTACGTACGGTGCGAAAGTCAATGTGCCTACGATACAGGTCTTGATGCTGCTCAGGTGACCAATCTTATCTTTTAGACGAACACTGATATTACAACCTGTATTTTTGTTGTATTTAATCATCATGTGTAATTTATGCCATGTTTAATGATACACAAGTAGATCAGGAAGCACCGTACAGGTGACCCGAATGTGCAATATTTAAACCGTTAATAGAACAATAAAGACATTTTAAATTTACATTTTTAACTCCTGGTGATAAAACAAACATTTTTTTGGAAAAATCCAGTTTCTGTGCACAGATCCAAAGGTCGGAAATGCCAAACAACCAGCAACATTGGCACTCCTAAGTTTGTAATAGAGTTGACAAGTTTCTTGAAATGAATAATGTGAATATGTCACTGTGGTGTGACATTGGGCCTCAAGCGACATGAAGGCCTTCACACAATATCCTTCAGTGGTCTGTCCTACATACACATTTAAACTATAATATCTGTAGCAAAGCAGATGAAACAGTGGTTCCCATCATACTATATTCGACAACAATTTTCTGAATGGATTCCTGGCTGGCTGGCACGTGTGCGGCGATGACATCACCTGCATCCCACATCATCACGCCTCCAACCCCCCCACTCACCCTTAACCCCGGCCATGTATAGCACGCAAACGCGTGTGATAGGCTATCATGCTATTAAATCTTACGATTATATAATGTTGAAAAACGTTTTGCTGGCTGCCTGAAGGATGGACGGTCCAGTCCAAAGGACGTGTGATCTGCGAGTTGCATTTCTAAATATGTATATCAAATATAACCTCTTATCTCTGCAATCCTGGTTGAGTGCTCCAAGAAAGATAAACATTGTCACCCTGAGCCACCCGGCTCTACCGCACATCTGTAAAAAAAAGAGCTTCAGAGCTCATCGGATTCCTCCTGGAAAAATACAGTCTGATTCTGATATATTACAGTGCCTACTTTTTTTTTTATCTCGCCACCACTATGAACGTGCCGGTCAACCTTCTGCAGAGTACACCTGCGGCTTGATTGGGGAGAACAGCAATGCTTGAATTCCCTTCACATCGCATTTGACGGCCTACGTGGAAATGGGAAAAGTGTTGCTCATGATTGGGAGTCCACTGTTCGGAGGGCATCTTAACGGTTCAAACTAAAAGCTATACGTGGATTTATTTTTTTCGGTGAGATGTGCGCGCATACCTTCGTGATGGTGAACATGACTGACATCACTTCCTTAATGTTGTGCACTGGCATGATTTTCAGATTCGTCGTTAAGAATCTGTAAAATACGTGTATAAATCGAGCGGTGAAGCGTTTATAAGTTACACACTATCAATTGCGTATGCTTGCATGGCATTGCACTGCATCTACGTGCATGCTGATTGTTCAGTTTAAGTTTTTCTGCTCAGAATTTTATAGTTTCATACATTTTTGTTCTTGTACCGACATCTTCCGTATTCACGAATACGCAGAGGGCATAACACTTTCCTTGAAAGTTGCTTTTGTTAAAGTCTAGCTCTCTGAATCACCACACGGGCATTACCTTAAACACAGTAATCCATCTCCTAACACGAACGTAACATCTGTACCTTACGTGACATCTTTATAAAGTTCAGAAAAAATGTGCAATGCAACGTTGACACTGATCTCCTTCTCACAATACCCAATACATCACTTAAGTAAATCCATAATTTCTGAAATGTATCGCTGTTTGTTAATCCGACATTGTAAAACACGAATGAGGTTTTCCGCAATGTTTAAAAACTTCAGTTCTTCAAAGTTATCTGTATTTGTGGGAACGGGTGCTTCCTGGAAAGAATGATCTTGAGGGGTGAGCACTCGTAGGCTGCAAAGAGCAATTTTATGCCTTGTGATATTTTAGTTTTTACCATAATAGACAATCAAACCGCATATTCATTCATTATTGAATTCTATAACGTGCACACATTGAACTTAAAAGGACATTCAGAGGCACATGCAATCATGCATATTGTATTGTTGAAAACTGAATTCTGTACAGTGAATTTACCATTTTAGGTTTTCCAAACAAATTATCATCAGCCATGATCCATCCACTGTTGGATAAAGCTGTCATCATATCTCACGGTCCTGCGATGATGCTTAATCCATATAGCCCTCGCACACGAGCTGATATCATTGCTTCATCTCCACACTGGACGTACTCCGAGGTGTGTTCTATCTCTCGGCTGCCTCTCTGTTGTTATCAGGAAGCCACTGGAGCCATGCACTTTTAAATCTCAATTGAAAACGAATTTCTTCAAAGCTGCTTTTTTGTGTTTAGTTTGTTGTCCTTTCCCCAGCATCTCCGATTAGCACGGTTGGCTAAGTACGGTGCGAAAGAAGTTCAACATACAGTATAAAGAAATATTCTGATTCTGACATTGTAAGGTTCGACAACCGAACCTCGTCCATTCTCGCCACGTGTCCTGCCAAAGCCCACTGACTTTTATTGGCACTCAGTGCAATGTCTTTAATTGCATTTTGTTTCATAATTCAAGTGTTCCTCTTTCCGTGCCTCAGTATATTTCTCAGGATGCGTGTGTCTTTCTCTCACTTTATATTCATGAGCAATTGAAACAATTACATTGCTTGCTTTGGTCATACATTTCTACCGAGTCCGCTTGATTTCAAATAATGCGGTGGAAACAAACGCAGTGTATTTTGTTGCAAGTACAGTGAGGGAAAAAAGTATTTGATCCCCTGCTGATTTTGTACGTTTGCCCACTGACGAAGAAATGATCAGTCTATAATTTTAATGGTAGGTTTATTTGAACAGTGAGAGACAGAATAACAACAAAAAAATCCAGAAAAACGCATGTCAAAAATGTTATAAATTGATTTGCATTTTAATGAGGGAAATAAGTATTTGACCCCTCTGCAAAACTTGGTGGCAAAACCCTTGTTGGCAATCACAGAGGTCAGACGTTTCTTATAGTTGGCCACCAGGTTTGCACACATCTCAGGAGGGATTTTGTCCCACTCCTCTTTGCAGATCTTCTCCAAGTCATTAAGGTTTCGAGGCTGACGTTTGGCAACCCGAACCTTCAGCTCCCTCCACAGATTGTATATGGGATTAAGGTCTGGAGACTGGCTAGGCCACTCCAGGACCTTAATGTGCTTCTTCTTCTTGAGCCACTCCTTTGTTGCCTTGGCCATGTGTTTTGGGTCATTGTCATGCTGGAATACCCATCCACGACCCATTCTCAATGCCCTGGCTGAGGGAAGGAGGTTCTCACCCAAGATTTGACGGTGCATGGCCCCGTCCATCGTCCCTTTGATGGGGTGAAGTTGTCCTGTCCCCTTAACAGAAAAACACCCCCAAAGCATAATGTTTCTACCTCCATGTTTGACGGTGGGGATAGTGTTCTTGGGGTCATAGGCAGCATTCCTCCTCCTCCAAACATGGCGAGTTAAGTTGATGCCAAAGAGCTCCATTTTGGTCTCATCTGACCACAACACTTTCACCTAGTTGTCCTCTGAATCATTCAGATGTTCATTGGCAAACTTCAGACGGACATGTATATATGCTTTCTTGAGCAGGGGGACCTTGCGGGCGCTGCAGGATTTCAATCCTTCACGGCGTAGTGTGTTACCAATTGTTTTCTTGGTGACTATGGTCCCAGCTGCCTTGAGATCATTGACAAGATCCTCCCGTGTAGTTCTGGGCTGATTCCTCACCGTTTTCATGATCATTGCAACTCCACGAGGTGAGATCTTGCATGGAGCCCCAGGCCGAGGGAGATTGACAGTTCTTTTATGTTTCTTCCATTTGCGAATAATTGCACCAACTGTTGTCACCTTCTCACCAAGTCACTTGGCAATGGTCTTGTAGCCCATTCCAGCCTTGTGTAGGTCCACAATCTTGTCCCTGACATCCTTGGAGAGCTCTTTGGTCTTGGTCATGGTGGAGAGTTTGGAATCTGATTGATTGATTGCTTCTGTGGACAGGTGTCTTTTATACAGGTAACAAGCTGAGATTAGGAGCACTCCCTTTAAGAGTGTGTTCCTAATCTCAGCTCGTTACCTGTATAAAAGACACCTGGGAGCCAGAAATCTTTCTGATTGAGAGGAGGTCAAATACTTATTTCCCTCATTAAAATGCAAATCAATTTATAACATTTTTGACATGCGTTTTTCTGGATTTTGTTGTTGTTATTCTGTCTCTCACTGTTCAAATAAACCTACCATTAAAATTATAGACTGATCATTTCTTTGTCAGTGGGCAAACGTACAAAATCAGCAGGGGATCAAATACTTTTTTTCCCTCACTCTAAAACACATAGTGTGTGTGTGTGCGTAAATGAAACGTAACAAAAAAACCCCGTGGACTAAGCTATAGTAGAATCGTTACATAGCTATCGGCAATTACGTGAGCTCTAGCAATTCGTGTGTGGTAAAAAAAAAACAGCAATACGAAGACAGCACGCGGCAGCGAGAGGGCGAGCGGACGGCACGCGATGTGGGCAGAGAGAGATGATGATGATGATGGGCTCGCTTCCCGTACGACTGAAATTCCCCCACAATCAATACTCACACCTGCTCGCGTTATGCAACACACTCGCAACACAAAGGTGTCACACACTATCCGCACGACGCGCGCTCGATAAAGCTTTGCTTGAAGAACACTGCGAAAGTGTCCACTAATTCGAAGAAACCAAAGGCTTGACGTTTTAGATCTCTCGTGCAGGTGGCATCACGCTCACGTGAATAAGTGAAAAACTTGTTTTCTTCCCATACCTCAGCTGCAGGTGGTGCATACTCTGCATTTCCTTCTGTCCGTGGAAGCTGGCGATGAGTAAGAGAAAGCTGTTGCGATGCACCGATGAGAACTTTTTAATCTCCAGCAGGACGGGGCTCTTCATTCCCTCAGACATTTCCTCCACCGTGACAAGCTTAAAGGCCACACCTGCACTCAGCCGCAAAATAACAGAACTGGAGACTTTGCTCGGTGGTGGGAAAGTTGCGTATTCCAGAGCGGGGCAGCCTTCGACGCTGCGAAGGACTTCACGTGTTGCAAACGTGCGCAGTTGTAACTTCAGCATTAGAAAGTATTATCCGTTACGTTTACCAGTAATATAATTGGGATATTGCTTTATTTTTAAAAGAAAATGTGAACTGTAATGTTATTTTTTTCACAAAGCGTGAAATTGTATTATTTTTACGCTGATTTCCATCCAGTTTTTTGCAACAACAAAAACACCGTTCATGCTGATTCACATTATTTTATATTTTGCTTTTAATGTTACGCGTGACAAATTTAAAACATTGCAGTAATGTCAGATTATAATATAGTCTGCGGCAACAAAATGCTTAGTAATAATGTCTTGCAGGCCAATGATTTGATCAATAGAGTAGTACGTATTTGCCAAAGCAATACAGAGTAAACAAGTTAATTTACAATATTACATCTGTGAGGCGTTGGAATCAACGTCTCACAGAGCACTATTGTTAACATGTCGTGCAGTTTTGACGACCGTTTGAGTTATGGTCGAAACGTCGTGAGAATTTTTTTATTGTTTTATATAATTTTATTATTTTGTTGTTTCCCTTTAACGTGACTTTACCGAAAAAACTAAGAATATGTCGTGCAGTATCAATCAACACGTGTTAATTTTATAATATTTAGGTTTCGTTCATATTTCATCATCAACACCAAGACTCTGCTATCTATGAGTCATCCTTCACTGCTGGAATCCTCAACAATGCCAGATTATATGCTGTATTGAGGCCAAAATGTATGTGGTGCGCTGGTATTCTTGGCGAGTCTATCGCACCACAACCCCTACGCTTTGCCGTCTTCCACAGAGTAGGCGAGTGAGCTGTGGGTTACGAACTTTTCTGTTTTCAAGGCTGGCTTAATGCAACAAAAAACGCAATGCCAAAATTTTAAATGCACTTATTCGCGAACGGGCTGAGACCATAACACCTGTCACAGTACATAGGATAACCTGGCTAACCATTGGTATCAGCCGTGCTGTTTTTGTACCCCAACAGAGAGGTGACGTGACTCGATACACGTGTCGCAAGATCAATATGAATCGATGCACCATTACAGCCATACTCGCTGCAGTGAGACAAATGGCCCTTTGCGTGTTAGTCAACTTGTCATTCACTACTCGTAGTGATTTCCTGCTCAAATGAGCAATGAGGCAGTGCTCATCCCCAGTTTACAGTCTGGCCCAGTACCAAAAATTCCACATTCCTATGACGGGGGATGGGGGTGGTCTTCAAAGGACAACCACTTGAAATCCCCACGAAATCCTGAGTCAAACAGGATTTGAAGTCGCAAACCTTCTGACTTTGAGCCGATGAGTCACCCTTGCCGGCCAACTTGTCACGAGACAATGCCGTAAGTGGCACACAGGTGAGTGAGTGAGAGAGAGAAGATGCCATGAACTCTACCTGAACGTGACAAAATAACGACGCCTGGTCCAACGGAATCAGAGTAGCGCACCTTCATCTTGCACTCCACTAACTTCCGGATGAGTTCGTGTTCCTTGAAACATGAGGGACGCAACAAGCCAGCTTTCATTCGGAACGGAAAAGTTTATGAATGTGAGACCACATCAAGATGCTGTACAAAAGTGAGGGGCACATGTTGGGAGGAAAGGCAATGGATGATGAAGAGTATCAGGAAGGTTTGGGTACGATGGAGCAATAACCACAGGTAGATCTTGAACAGGGGGTACAGCCTGGCGGATGACCAGGGGAGTCATTCTAGAACAGTGGTCGGCAACTTTTCAAAGAAGAAGAGCCATTTTTTTTGTTTTTGGCCAAAATATTTCGAGAGCCTCATCACACGAAGAGCTACTTCTACAAATACACAAACATAGCAAGTATACAGCAGATGTCAAACACATTCTGACTTCAAAAAACAAAATAGGTGATGGAATAAACTGCATATATTTAGGTTTTTATCCCGTTTAGTTATTCTTTAACAATATAGTTTGACTATTGTACATTTTGTCGTCACCAAGACATTCCATAGTGACACATTCCTTGCCATATTTAATAAATTATGTTTCCGGTAAAAAAAATATTTTAGATTTTTTTTTTAACCAAAAAAAACGGCTGCCCGCAAGGGGGACAGCCAGAGAGCCGCAAGAGAGGAAGCCAAAGAGCCACCGCATGCGGCTCCGGAGCCTACAGGTTGGCGACTCCTTGTGCTAGAGTTAGAAGCAGCAGAGGACAAGGAGCGATCTTCTCAGCTTAACGGAGCCAACGATATCTGCAGTCGATGCAATAAACCAGATTCGTTTACACACGCGCATATATGTGAACATGTGATGATTCACTTGCGGTGCTTTGGGTATTGTGATTCGCGTTGGTTGTCAAAGTGCCGGTGCTGTAGCTACAGGACACCACTTTATCTTTACGAATGGGCATCATGCCAAATGTGCAAAAACATCTGCACAACTATAAGGAACAAAAGGTTAATAATAATGAGGTTGCTTGATGATGTCGATCATGCTTTTGCTTTAGAGTTCACCTTCAGCGAGGAGCTGACAATGACGGGTGCGTCTGCCTCCATACTGATAACCGTGCGTCACCACAGCTGAAAAGTACATGAACGACTCATTTTCATACTTAGAGAACTTACATTAAAAAAATCCCATTTTACCAGGTAAGGCCCACTGAGCCATATATCTCTTTTTCAGAAGCGACCTGACCACAAACGATAGCCCAACGAAGTGGATTATCGTGTGGAAATGTATAGCAGACAAATATTAAAACAGCACGAACACCCCACCCCTTCTTCATCCCCAGAACTCATTCCCCCCCATGCCCCATCACCTCTCCTCACCCTTTCTCAACCACCTTTAGCAGCGCTCACCTCCAATCACGACTCTCCTCGTTACTACCAACAACAACGAGCCGGCATGCCAGGCCAGGTGCACTCCACCACCATCATCCTAAAAACCCTTCCCACCACGTACCTCTAACCCTATCACCACCTTTACATCCATTCTACCTAACAATGCTTGTACCTGTCTCACATCGCTTCCGCCATCACTCCCTTCCCTCATCACCCACAGCATCCCTCTCTCCATCACCCATCACATACCTCCAACGACTCTATACCCCGTAGCCACCGCGTTGTGTATGAGACATACACGGGAATGCGCTCTTTCACGCATTCACACGCGAAAAATCTCACGCATTGCATCACACCTCGCAAGCAATGCCCCCCTAAAAAATACCCACCAGCCCGCGTCAGCTAACTCTACGACTAACGTATGTCTCCAAAATACAGGCGGTTTTTTTGGGGTTATATCGCGTAAGTATATAAAAGTGTCGTTAAACCCGCCAACATCCGACACAGCCAATTAGTGAGGATTGTCACGTAAACAGAACATGCCATTTCGTTACAAGTACGTTACTAATACAGTACACCCGTGTGCTGTTCTCAAATACACCGGTGTGCTGTACTCGTAACGAATTGGCATGTTCTGTTTACGTGACAAACCTTACTAATTGGCTGTGTCGGGTGGTGGCGGGTTTAACGACACATTTATACTGGTAGGAACGAAGTTGTAAACTGAGTGTACCAGCCTGCAATAGACTAACGACACATTTGTACTGGTAGGAACGAAGTTGTAAACTGAGTGTACCAGCCTGCAATAGATTAATGTGTCCGTCCGTCCCCTTTCAATACTTTAACGAAGTGAAATCTCGTGCTGTTGGGGTGTAAAAATAAAATTGCGCAAAATTCCAATGTTCCTACCAGCCCACCCTGCAGGGACCTGTTATATTTACGCGTTCAAACCCAAAAAAAACTGGATTAAGGATATTGGTCGCGATTGCCGACGAGTGAAACGAACGTGTGGTCTCATTAGTGCCCCCTCGTGGCCGCTGGCGATACCAAGCGACCAATCGCAAGCACTTGCAATTCATCCAGCCTTGAGTGCCCTGCCATCAACACCCTGTCGAGCCATGCCCCCCGCAACAACTGCGCTGTGCCCCATCACCTCAAGCCATCGCTTCCTCCCCTCACCGCCCATCGCACGCATCCCTCTTCCAAACAACTCACACCATCACTCCTCCACCACCCATCACATCTCCCCCCTCTCACACACCCTCTATACTCTTCAACCCCTTTTAACAACTACCCTTCCCCCCATCACTTCACACAATAATACTCCTTCACCAGCCATTTGTGAAATGTATAGGACCTTTGGTAGTTGTGAGTCTCGAGAATAATGTATAGTCTATAGTATTTCGATGTATTTAGTGGTAACATCTGTAACTTGTCTCTCGGACAGCCAACAAGTCTCTCAGATCTCCCACTCTTTTAACATGTATATGTCATTTTATTGACATTGGCATTGTTTTATTGTCTTGAGTATTCCTGTGCGCATAGTTAGATGTGTCATTTCCTGTCATTCAACAATGGGCACTGCGCTTTGGTACCAAAGTGGTGAGAAAAATAACTCCCGTGTGACACAACCCCCACCACTCACCTAGCTATGACTCAACCCCCACCACTCACCTAGCTATGACACAACCCCCACCACTCACCTAGCTATGACACAACCCCCACCACTCACCTAGCTATGACACAACCCCCACCACTCACCTAGCTATGACACAACCCCCACCACTCACCTAGCTATGACACAACCCCCACCACTCACCTAGTGTGACACAACCCCCACCACTCACCTAGCTATGACACAACCCCCACCACTCACCTAGCTATGACACAACCCCCACCACTCACCTGGCTATGACACAACCCCCACCACTCACCTGGCTATGACACAACCCCCACCACTCACTTAGCTATGACACAACCCCCACCACTCACTTAGTGTGAGACAACCCCCACCACTCACCTAGCTATGACACAACCCCCACCACTCACCTAGTGTGACACAACCCCCACCACTCACCTAGCTATGACACAACCCCCACCACTCACCTAGCTATGACACAACCCCCACCACTCACCTGGCTATGACACAACCCCCACCACTCACCTGGCTATGACACAACCCCCACCACTCACTTAGCTATGACACAACCCCCACCACTCACTTAGTGTGAGACAACCCCCACCACTCACCTAGCTATGACACAACCCCACCACTCACCTAGTGTGACACAACCCCCACCACTCACCTAGCTATGACACAACCTCCACCACTCACCTAGCTATGACACAACCCCCACCACTCACCTGGCTATGACACAACCCCCACCACTCACCTAGCTATGACACAACCACCACCACTCACTTAGCTATGACACAACCCCCACCACTCACCTAGTGTGAGACAACCCCCACCACTCACCTAGCTATGACACAACCCCCACCACTCACCTGGCTATGACACAACCCCCACCACTCACCTAGTGTGAGACAACCCCCACCACTCACCTAGCTATGACACAACCCGCACCACTCACCTGGCTATGACACAACCCCCACCACTCACCTAGCTATGACACAACCCCCACCACTCACCTAGCTATGACAGAACCCCCACCACTCACCTAGCTATGACACAATCCCCACCACTCACCTAGTGTGACACAACCCCCACCACTCACCTAGCTATGACACAACCCCCACCACTCACCTAGCTATGACACAACCCCCACCACTCACCTGGCTATGACACAACCCCCACCACTCAGCTAGTGTGAGACAACCCCCACCACTCACCTAGCTATGACACAACCCCCACCACTCACCTAGCTATGACACAACCCCCACCACTCACCTAGCTATGACACAACCCCCACCACTCACCTAGCTATGACACAACCCCCACCACTCACCTGGCTATGACACAACCCCCACCACTCAGCTAGTGTGAGACAACCCCCACCACTCACCTAGCTATGACACAACCCCCACCACTCAGCTGGTGTGAGACAACCCCCACCACTCACCCAGCTATGACACAACCCCCCCCACTCACCTCGCTATGACACAACCCCCACCACTCACCTAGCTATGACACAACCCCCACCACTCACCTAGCTATGACACAACCCCCACTACTCATCTGGCTATGACACAACCCCCACCACTCAGCTAGTGTGAGACAACCCCCACCACTCACCTAGCTATGACACAACCCCCACCACTCAGCTGGTGTGAGACAACCCCCACCACTCACCTAGCTATGACACAACCCCCACCACTCACCTAGCTATGACACAACCCCCACCACTCAGCTAGTGTGAGACAACCCCCACCACTCACCCAGCAACTCAACCTCCTGTGTGATTAAACCACCACTCGGTGGCGCTAAACTCATTGAGAAGGCGATTCCAAATTCCTGCGATGGGGAACAGTCCACCCATAAATCCGATTTCCAGGCATCAAGTCTGCATTAAACCACACATACTTGGGAACAAAACATGCAAAACAAACATTCTCCGATAATATATTAACTGATTGGTGTAGGGCAATAAGTTGCATAGACAATGTATATATTATCAGAGCATGTGTGTTTGCATATTTATTCAATACAAACTTGATGCCTTGAAATCGGTAACTTTATGGCGTTTGAACATTTTAACACCCTTGATTTGAAACTTTCGTGACTGCAGGAATCCACACTCTTTGATTCTTTCGGTAAAAGTCACGTAGGCATTTTATTTTATACCTACGTGACTCTACCGAAAGAATCAAAGAGTATATCTTAACACCCGTTTTATTGTCAGAAAGCGTAACGCGTTTGTTCATCAGTCTCCCCATTCCTGCTCGCGACTGGGATATCTCATCGCAAACTCGACACGAAGCACGCGCTGCTGATGAGACCCATGCAGTCGAAATCGTTCTATAGTTTCCCTGCTGTAAACACAAACAATGATCCACCTGTGCGATGTTTAATCGGTGCAAACTTATTATCCACACACGATTGTCATTCGATTGGACTTGAAAACGAATTATCTCCGCGAGTTTTGCCCAAGCTTTTGATCATGCATTTGCCAAGTACTCTATGGAATTACTGCGATATCGTCTTTACGATAAGATGTTAATTTTCGTGATATGACGATTATCGCGATATCAGCTCCCCCCTAACTTTGTAATTGGTAATGCCCGTTTGTATTGTTCGTGTTGCATTGGCACAGTTCAATTACGAACATGAATCCTAATGATCGTAACTTTACAATCAATAACTCTTATACGCGTCATGGATATTACGTTCGTCAGCGATACGAGTGAGAGTGCGTGTACACGCGCGCGGACTCAAGCATTACATTGTAAAGTTTAATGCGCATTAACTACCCATGATTTGCCGCATAAGTGTGGCACACTAGATACAGTATCGCGTACAATATTTAACACTAAGTAAAACTTAATAGCGTGTTCTGCCGATTATAAGACGCTCCGGAAAGTTAAGACGGACTCTTAAAACTTGTCAATAAAGTTACACAAATTCTGCAAAGTTAAAGATCCCCTCTGTAACAACCTGTAGGCGGGTGGGTTGGGGCAAGTGCTGTTAGCGAGTAGCAGTGCCTATGAAGGCTGTGCCACACGAGGGGGTGGGTGGCCAGCACCACGCCCGGCCGCCTTTGTCTCCCCCAAGTGGCGATGTTTACACACCGCAATTTGGTACTAATTTGAGGCTGAGTCGACCTAGGGGATGCCCAGCAACGGTTCAGATCATTCGCCACTTGTGTTGACCGTGAAGCTGGAATAGAATAGAACTCGGGTCGTCGAATTGTAAGACGCAACCGCGTCAACTTTCCCTTCGAAATACCTCGTAACCACTATGCAGTTACTTTATCAGGGAAATGTGTTACAAGGCGCGAAAAAAAATGTGTAAATATATCGTTTATCACCTTAAGTGATCGTCATACTTTAATTTAAGGCATTCAATGAGGCATTTCTGTCAAGAAACTATATATTTCAGGAATACATACAATTATTGACTGACGATAGTCGCGATATGACGATGTTTAGTCAAAACGGACGATACGGTAATCGCGGTTCTTACATCGTCCGCGATGCAGGGCACGGGCGTGCGTGATGACGACACGGGCGTGCGTGATGACGATCGGGACATGCGTGGTGACGGAACGAGCGTGCGTGATGACGACACGCGCAAACAGCCCAGGAACGTGGCTCCGTGCACGTCACCCCTTCTGGCGGTGATGACATCATGCTATGTGCTTGCGCGATGACATCATACGTAAACAAACCCTTAACATTAAAACTTTCAAAGCATATACCAGGTCAAATAATTATTTGGTGATGCTGCTTGTGTTGGCAGTGGTGCACAAGCACAAATGGTAACAACTAAAACGCAACATGTTTGTCAAGTAACGCTGTGACCTTAATACTGCTGCTTCCTTAGAAAGATAGGAAACTTCTTTGAGCTTATATTTTTGGTTATTTCGGTAAAGTCACGTAGATGGGAAACAATAAAATAATAAAAATATAAAACAATAAAATTCTCACGACGTTTCGACTGCAACACAAGCAATCATCATCAGGTGTGAAAACCACAACAAGAAAAATTGAAAAAAGTGGCGGTTATTTTTAACGTTAGCACCACGGAGAGCGATTTGACATTTATTCAGATGGACGAGTCCATCTATTTTGATTTAAAGCTTTCGTGACTGCAGTGATTCATATTCTTGGTTATTTCGGTAAAGTCACGTTGAAGGGAAACAATAATATATCAAACAATAAAATTATCACGACGTTTCGACTGCAACACAAACTGTTTGTGTTGCAGTTTGTGTTGCAGTCGAAACATCGTGATAATTGTATTGTTTTATATATATTATTATTTTATTGTTTCCCTTCAACGTGACTTTACCGAAAGAACCAAGAATATGAGTCCATCTATGTTTGGAAAAGAGGAGGGGGGAGACGAAAATAATGGATGCGGTCTGAAAGCCACCGTAAGCGTGAACAATCAATTAAGACCCGAAATGGTTTGTCAAATCCTTCCAATGACCAGGTAACTTCTGAAAAAGAGCTATTTTAGCTCAATGCGCATTACCTGGTAAAATAAAAAAAGAGTTTAGTCGTTTAATACTTTACTGCTATAAATGTCCCCATGATATTGATAAGCCACTTTGTTGAGCTGTAATTTGTGGCCAGGTCGCTTGTGAAAAATAAGTTAAATTATATTTATGTGTTTGGGTTATTTGTTTAACTTTTATGTACTTTGCATTACTATCGTATTTTTGTTCTATTTGTCGTTGTAACGTTCTTACCCGCCCCTACTGGACATCTGTGAAAAAAAGAGCTTTTTAGTTCATTGGATTCCTCCTGCAGTCTAAATAAATATTCTGATCTGATTCCTTCAGTGGTAAAGTAGTGGGTGGTGGTGGAGGGGTGGGGGCTGAAAAAGAGTGGGTGGTGGTGGAGGGGTGGGGGCTAAAGAAGAGTGGGTGGTGGTGGAGGGGTGGGGGCTAAAGAAGAGTGGGTGGTGGTGGAGGGGTGGGGGCTAAAGAAGAGTGGGTGGTGGTGGAGGGGTGGGGGCTAAAGAAGAGTGGGTGGTGGTGGAGGGGTGGGGGCTAAAGAAGAGTGGGTGGTGGTGGGGTGGGGGCTGAAGAAGAGTGGGTAGTGGTGGGGTGGGGGCTGAAGAAGAGTGGGTGGTGGAGGGGTGGGGGCTAAGAAGAGTGGCTGGTGGTGGAGGGGTGGGGGCTGAAGAAGAGTGGGTGGTGGTGGAGGGGTGGGGGCTGAAAAAGAGTGGGTGGTGGTGGAGGGGTGGGGGCTGCTGAAGAGTGGGTGGTGGTGGAGGGGTGGGGGCTAAAGAAGAGTGGGTGGTGGTGGAGGGGTGGGGGCTGAAAAAGAGTGGGTGGTGGTGGAGGGGTGGGGGCTAAAGAAGAGTGGGTGGTGGTGGAGGGGTGGGGGCTAAAGAAGAGTGGGTGGTGGAGGGGTGGGGGCTAAAGAAGAGTGGGTGGTGGTGGAGGGGGTGGGGGCTGAAGAAGAGTGGGTGGTGGTGGAGGGGTGGGGGCTAAAGAAGAGTGGGTGGTGGAGGGGTGGGGGCTAAAGAAGAGTGGGTGGTGGTGGAGGGGGTGGGGGCTGAAGAAGAGTGGGTGGTGGAGGGGTGGGGGCTAAAGAAGAGTGGGTGGTGGTGGAGGGGGTGGGGGCTGAAGAAGAGTGGGTGGTGGTGGAGGGGTGGGGGCTAAAGAAGAGTGGGTGGTGGAGGGGTGGGGGCTAAAGAAGAGTGGGTGGTGGTGGAGGGGGTGGGGGCTGAAGAAGAGTGGGTGGTGGTGGAGGGGTGGGGGCTAAAGAAGAGTGGGTGGTGGTGGAGGGGTGGGGGCTGAAAAAGAGTGGGTGGTGGAGGGGTGGGGGCTAAAGAAGAGTGGGTGGTGGAGGGGTGGGGGCTGAAGAAGAGTGGGTGGTGGTGGAGGGGTGGGGGCTGAAGAAGAGTGGTGGTGGAGGGGGTGGGGGCTAAAGAAGAGTGGGTGGTGGTGGAGGGGTGGGGGCTGAAGAAGAGTGGGTGGTGGTGGAGGGGTGGGGGCTGAAGAAGAGTGGGTGGTGGAGGGGGTGGGGGCTGAAGAAGAGTGGGTGGTGGAGGGGTGGGGGCTGAAGAAGAGTGGGTGGTGGAGGGGGTGGGGGCTACTGTGGAGGGGGTGGTAGAGGGGTGGGGGCTACTGGAGAGTGGGTGGTGGAGGGGGTGGGGGCTACTGTGGAGGGGGTGGTGGAGGGGTGGGGGCTGAATAAGAGTGGGTGGTGGTGGAGTGGGTGGGGGCTGCTGCTGAAGAGTGGGTGGTGCTGGTGGTGGAGGCGGGGGCTGCTCGCGCGCGCGTGACCGGGTCACGTGATCCACCATGGCGTTCCTGCTGCTCAACGCGTTCAGCTCTCCCGTCGGGCAACGCATTGGTGAGAGCGACAACCCGAGCCCTCGCTTCACTACACTAACAATAACAACAAAACAGCAGCAGCACAACAACAACAATACGGCGACGTGGCGGGAAAGCGTTTAGCGACGTCAGTCAGTCGTGGCATTGCAGCTCGCGGCCGTGGTTTTGCAGATAGGAAGCCACAGCGAGAGCCATGTGTGTCCAAGGGATTGCCACCGCCTATGGCTGCTGCTGCTGTTGCTGCTGCTGTGTGAGTGAGAACATTCGAGTGGCACTGCGTCTAATAGTCACTCGCTGACTCGCCTCGCCCCGGTACACCGCGTTGGAGGCGTTGTCCTTCTGGTCTACCTCTGTCCGTGTACGTCGCTTGTATCTGCTGTCTGTCCGAAGGGACACGCGGCTTCGTGTGCACGTGCCGGGGTTGTGATTGTTATTGTTAACGTCGCGGAAAAGCGAGAGCGGTGTTGGTAGGCCTAACCATCCAGCGGTGGATTGATCAATGGCTGGGTGGTGATGGTGAATCGCTGCTAGGGTGGATGGGGGGGGAGCGGTGGCGCAGTGGTTGACGCGGTGCGGGCCCGACGATTTCCGGCTACGGTCAACGTCAGTGGCGAGTGATCGGAGTTCCTCCTCTCTCCCGTCTCCGCCACACTTGTGTGGTGAAGTATGGTCAAACGGCCCCCTTGACCGACATGGCGGGATTGACTGTGTAACGTTATTACCCCCCTACTGTTGTGTTCCACGTCAATCGCACGCACAACACTGTAACGCCTATTTCTCCTGCTGGGATTGCTGCGCGTCCCGTCTGGGTCAAGCCGTTAAACAAAAAACATCATCACCATCATCGTCATCATCATCGTCATCACCACCATCATCACCGTCATCATCACCATCGTCATCATCATCACCAGCACCATCATCATCACCAGCACCATCATCGTCATCATCACCATCATCACCAGCACCATCATCATCACCAGCACCATCATCACCATCATCATCACCAGCACCATCATCATCACCATCATCATCGTCATCACCATCATCACTCCCCTGGCGGCTCTGTCGCCCCGTCGCCTGACCCGACCCGGCCCTTTCGCGTGTACACTAGCCAGGTGTACCAGGCTAGGTAGCCTGGTGTACCAGGCTAGGTAGCCTGGTGTACCAGGCTAGGTAGCCTGGTGTACCAGGCTAGGTACACCTCGCCTGCCACGGACGTCGTGGGGACGTCGCCGCCTCCTCCTGATGGCGAATGGCGGCTCCCTGCGTGTGTGCTGCGCGCACCTTGCGGCACTTTGCCGTGGCCGCAATTAGAAAGGCGCCCCTTGTAAGTAAGAAGTGAGTGTGTGTGTGGTGTTGTGTGTGTGTGGGGTGTGTGGTGTTGTGTGTGTGTGGGGTGTGTGTGTGGTGGTTGTGTGTGGTGTGTGTGGTGGTTGTGTGTGTGTGCGGTGAGTGTGGCGTGTGTGCGGGGTGTGTGTGGTGGTTGTGTGCGGTGTGTGTGTGCGGTGTGTGTGTGTGGTGGTTGTGTGTGTGGTGGTTGTGTGCGGTGTGTGGTGAGTGTGGTGTGTGTGCGGTGTGTGTGTGGTGGGTGTATTGTGTGTGTGGAGTGGTGTGAGTGTGCGGTGTGTGTGTGGTGGGTGTATTGTGTGTGTGGAGTGGTGTGTGTGTGCGGTGTGTGTGTGCGGTCTGTGTGTGTGCGGTGTGTGTGTGCGGTGTGTGTGGTGGTTGTGTGTGGTGTTGAGTGTGTGGTGTGTGTGTGCGGTGTGTGTGTGCGGTGTGTGTGTGGTGGTTGTGTGTGGTGTTGAGTGTGTGGTGTGTGTGTGCGGTGTGTGTGTGCGGTGTGTGCGGTGTGTGTGTGCGGTGTGTGTGTGGTGGTGTGTGTGGTGTGTGTGTGGTGGTGTGTGTGTGCGGTGGTGTGTGTGTGCGGTGTGTGTGTGTGGTGTGTGTGGGGTGGTTGTGTGTGGTGTTGAGTGTGTGTGTGTGTGGTGTGTGTGGTGTGTGTGCGGTATGTGTGTGTGGTGGTTGTGTGCGGTGTGTGTGCGGTATGTATGTGTGTGTGTGGTGGTTGTGTGCGGTGTGTGTGGTGGTGTGTGTGGTGGTGGTGTGTGTGGTGTGTGTGTGGTGGTGTGGTGGTGTGTGTGGTGTGTGTGATGGTGTGTGAGTGGTGGTGTGTGTGTGTGGTGTTTGGGTGTGGTGTGTGTGGGGTGGTTGTGTGTGGTGTTGAGTGTGTGTGTGTGTGGTGTGTGTGGTGTGTGTGCGGTATGTGTGTGTGGTGGTTGTGTGCGGTGTGTGTGCGGTATGTATGTGTGTGTGTGGTGGTTGTGTGTGGTGGTTGTGTGCGGTGTGTGTGTGGTGGTGTGTGGTGTGGTGTGTGTGTGCGGTGTGTGTGGTGGTGGTGTGTGTGGTGTGTGTGTGGTGGTGTGGTGGTGTGTGTGGTGTGTGTGATGGTGTGTGAGTGGTGGTGTGTGTGTGTGGTGTTTGGGTGTGGTGTGTGATGGTGTGTGTGTGTGTGGTGTTTGGGTGTGGTGGTGTGTGTGTGTGCGGCGTGCTTGGCAATGGCTGCGGCGTGGTGTGTGCTGGTCCCACGCTGGGTGAGACCGGGGGACTCCCAGCAGGTTGACTCGGCCGAAAATGTGTCGGGTTGCTCGTTTTGCTTCAGTGCGACGATGATCAAGTGTCGTGGAGACACGGCCATGAAACGTCGGACTCGGATTGTAAATGTCGTGGATTTACTCTCCAACATACAACCGGTGTGCTGTACTAGTAACGAATTGGCACGTTCTGTTTACGTGACAAACCTTACTAATTAGCTGTATTAAGGGTGAATGTTGTCTCCCCACGTGTATGGGTACACCCAACACTGCATTGTACTACAGCGTGTCGGTAAAGATATCATTATCGATCATGATCCACCCAGTGGGTTAATGATGACCTCTCTCCACAAGCTGTCAGGCACGTCGCCGTCCTGCGATCTAACGCATGCAAACTAAGGTGTCGTCTGTTATCATCCGTGAATAAACAATTCTAATTACCGCATCCGTCATTTGCGTGAGTGAAATTTTGGAAACGTCTTATGCGGTTACAACAACAACAAACAAACAAAAAACCCTTCGTTGATCTTCAGCAACGCATGACAATTTGGCTGAAATAATTGTGTTTATTATTTTGTGATTGTTGCTTCATTCACGGCCAAGATGTTGACGAACACCCTGGGCCTCGCGCATCTCAATGCGATGTGTGTCACCAGAGCAGATACTTGGAGGTTTGGAGCTATGATTCGTGACCAAATAAGACTCCCAAGTCTACGAGAGTGGAAGTGTAAGCGGTGGGCGCGCTGCGCTACGGACCCGGCGACCAGAGTTCGATTCCCGCTCGCAGTCCTGAACCCTCCCCTAGGTCGACTCGGCCTCAAATCAGTAGCTGGTGCGGTGTGGAAAAACATCGCCACTGGGGAGACAAAGGCGGCCGGACGTGTTGCTGGCCACCCCACCCCCCCTCGTGTGCCGTGCCGGCATTCTTAGGTGCTACTTGCTAACGGCACTTGCCCCAAACAGTCTGTCAAGGCTATCATCATCCTTGGGATATTTGTCTTTGTAAAGTCCCGCATCATGTTATTTACCGAGCTTCTAACTATGTTGTAATCGATTTTCAGTAATGAACAGGGGGACCCCCTGTTATGGACAACCACACCCTTTGTTGGCTGTGGCAGTTTAATGACCTTACAAGAAAGAGGGTGGGCCAGTGGCAAACGGGGGGAGTGCTTTTTAACCATCACCCAAATGGGTGCCCTGAAAACGGTGCCTGGTGCCCACCAGGCAAGGCCCCATTACATTGGTGGATTTGTATCTTCGCGTTCCTGTTTGAAAATCCGTTGTGTTATCTGGGTTATATAAATGGAACGGTTTTTCCTTTGTTCCCCTCTGTGGTCAGTTTACTTGAAGATGCCCATTGGTGCCTCACCCCTTACACTCGTGTCCCGTCATCGTTGCATTGTTTTGTGGCGTAAGCGTCGTGCGTGCCACAACAATTCCTGAAGCTAATTGTTATTTTTTATTGGTTTCTCTGTTTCCCCTCCAGTTTTATATTCCACTTGTGCTATTATTATTAATAATAAGTCCCGCAAGGTGATGTTACAGGACTGCTTCGGAGGTCTGGATATCTGTGAAAAAGAGCTTAATAACTCATCAGATTTCTCCAGGATATATACAGACGAGGGGGTGGGTGGCCAGCAGCACGCCCGGCCGCCTTTGTCTCCCCAGTGGTGATGTTGACACACCACAGCAGTTACTCGTTTGAGGCTGAGTCGACCTAGGGGAGGTCCAGGACCGGTTAAAATAATCGTCACCGGTGGTGGCCGTGAGTTGGAATCGAACTCAGGTCGCCGGGTTCGTAGCACGGCGCGCTAACCGCTACACTACAATGTGTTACGCTTCCACATGCGAGGGTCATGTGACAGATTTGACGTCACAGCTCACTTGCCGTGCAAAAGATATATACATTATTGAGCTCCCCCCCCCCCCCCTAAAAAATAAGTATTCTTATCATTTTTCCATGGTGTACAGTCTGGAAAGTACCCACATGGCAAATTTCAAGTTTGTTGCATGTGGGGAAGTACGCTAAACATTTTGAACAGACACACATTCACAACTTTAACTTTTATATATATGGAGATAAGAAAAGACTCCGTCATTTCAATAGGCTTCTTTATCCACACTAGGGACACATTTTTTTAAATGTCCTGCTAAGAGAATAACCACTGTGGAGATGGAGCAATTCGTGAATCCGCATGTGCGAGATGGACTGTGGTATAGCAGGACATTGGAGGAGTGATTGTGACATGGGAGGCCTTCATCCAGCATTGGATAAGCATGGTTGATATGATGATGCATCAAGACTGGTGAGACAATGAAGCTGGATGGATTTGGTACACTTTCTACCGCCTCTTAATGCCTGCTCTATGGGGCCTATAAAGTGTTCGCAAGCAGCACGACCAACCGATCCCCATTTCAGGCTGAAAAA